GGATCTTTTGTGGTCAAACATTGTGTGGGCCACGCACAGATTCCATTCCAAGCATACTTCAAACAGGCTTCTTCCATTGTCATTCACTCTCTCGTCCACAAACGTACCCAGAACTTCTTCATACCCATCACGCTTTACTCCAACCCACCCATTAAAGTCCGCTAACATCACGATCCGTTCATTTTCTCCGCATTTATTCAAGATATCTCTCATGCCATCCCAAAATTCCTCTCTCTCTTGTTGGGATTTTAATGACCCACCTCCACACAGATCCGTCGGTGCATAGACCCCAAGGATGAACAAGCGAGTGAGTCCGACTTTTAACCTAATCCAGAGGAGTCTTGAATTTACACATTCATGCTCCATCACACATTCAACTATTCGAGATGAAAGAATCACACCAACTCCCCTGACAGCCTCGGCTGGTTTGGGGGACTCCCGATCAGTATGCCGTGTAGGGGCCATGTAGGTGTCACATCCTTTCCTCTTGGTTTCGTTCACGCACAGAATATCTATGCATCTTTCATCCATCATCTGACATACTTCATCTACCTTAAGATCCATTCCTTCCCTTACATTCAACGTAGCGAAGTGGCTCTGCGTGGGCCGCTTTTCGCCCCCGCGAGAAACGAGACGTGATGGGTGGCGAACCACATCGCCGCCATTTTGGTTAATTAAATTATTTTTACGATTATCTACTGCGTTCCCACGAATAGCGAGGGAAAGGTTTGTCCCCCCAGCAGAGCCCCGCATGCCAGGGTAAGGCTGGCCCAATTATGGAGTCGCCCGGTCCCAGGGCAGTGTGGTACGCTAACGACTAGGTTTTCCTCTAGCTATGCATCCATCTGCGCGGCAGACGTTGGATTGGCGGAGAGGGTAGGAATAGGAAAAGGGGAAGGATAGGTGGTGTGAAAAGGAAGATTGGTAAGTTAGGGTGGGAAAAAGGAAATGTAGGATATTACCGCCCAGGAGGGCAAAGGATAGGACAGGAAGCCGGAGTTGCATACCCGTATACTATAACACAACTACCGGACAGATAAATTGGGATGAGTACCCCACGACACGATCCGTATGCCGTACCTGATCTACCTAACACATTCAGATTACACGTATGTTGGTAAGTTTTTGCTTGTAAATTGCACTATATTCCTGGAAGAACAGCTGGTAAGGTATTTTTTTTAAATATTAGGTCTTTACCTATGAAATTGCAGTTTTTTTTTGAGATAAGTTAACGTAATTTTTTCTAAATTTTTTATTTCTATTAATTAAAGTAATCACCCATGCAGTCGATGCATCTTTGCCAACGCAGTGGCAGTTTACTGATGCCCTTCTTGAAGAAATCAGCTAGACGGGAGGCAACAAATTCTTCAAAGGCATTTTGTACTGCTTCCCAGGTGTTGAATTTATTTTCCCGCCAAAAAGTTATCCAATTCTGGAAAAAGTAGAAGTCTGTAGGCGTAACGTCTGGTGAGTACGGCGGAGAGCTTCCAACCCCAGCTTTTGTAACTTGGAGACCGTCTATTGTGCAGTATGAGGTCGAGAGTTGTCGTGCTCATGTCGTGTTGGAGACGTACTGTTAGGAGGGCCGCTATGAAGGTGTTTTTAAAAAAAAACTTTTACACCCAATCCTGGAAGTTCTTTTGGTTTATTTCCCCAATATTAAAATAATTCAACCAAATGTACAAAAGGCGCGAACGGCGTGTGCGATATATATTTTTAAAATAAAATTTATTAGAAATTAGAATTAATGGCCAAACAAAAATTATTTTGATTTGAAATGGCCAGTACTGCAGAAAATGTCATAGATAAAGATCTATTATAAAAACTTATCTAAATAATTTTGAAAACATTTATATTGTTTTTGGTACCGGAAAGTGAAGAAAACTAGGTAGGTACATAATGAAATAAAATTATATAGTTTACTCAGGAGTTTATTTTACAAACAAATGTTGGCTGAAAATTATTATAAAAAAGTTGGAATTAATTTATATGAAATCTATTAATCTTATATAAAATGTACCATAACATCCAACTAATCATGTATTTAATTATTTAGTGCCTCTCGTAGGTAAGGCGATAGAGTAAAATAAGTTAAATTTTACAGGTAATGACATAACTAGTTCACACAACGTTAAAATTATTAATCACGTAACTTTGAATTAAAAAGAAATATAATTTCTTTAGGCGATGATTTTATTACGAATAACCCCAAATCCAATGCATAAAATACATGAAAAATATACACCTATTACGTAGTAGGTGTTATCATTTATTAAACAATGTCGTATACTGCTGACAATTAACTTAGGCTAACTTACTACTAAACCTTAACTGATTTTGTTGTGTTTATTAGGGTGTTACCACACCAATCGATCGATCGATGGTAGAATGGATTAGTCAACGTCGACCGAGCTGCTTGATTATTCGAAAACTCGCCCTGCGCCATCGACCTCAATTTAAAATGTTGTCTAGATGAATTTAAGCTATATCTGGCTTAAAAAGACGGTCACATTCAGAGTCTTCTACGTTTGCGTCTCCGTAATAATAATACGAGCAAAACCGTACTGGCAAATAATAACGCGTCCTCTTCTGAATACATTTTGAAAGATACTGATGATGACATATTGATTAATTGTCGATCGACGTCGATCGATGATTCAATAACGTTTTATCGATCAGTATCCGTCGATCAGCTAAAGCTACCACACCAATCGATCGATTGGTGTAGTAACACCCTTACATAGTTATTTTAACTAACACCTTAATTTATAACAATTGTATGTCTGTTCAGTTAAATGTTTATCACAGGTTTTTGACGAAAAGTTTAATAGTAGCATAAATACTATAATGATTTTACTCTTATACTACATTATGTGTGTTTAATTAGCTAACTGCAGTACAGCAGTGTACTCGTATAACTCCTCGTGTTTTTTTTATTGGGACAAAATAACAGTTACACATTAATGTTATACAAAACAATTAATTTATAAGAGGAGTACTTAACGTGTAAAGCACACCAATGCCCACAAAGTAATATAATATGCTTAGTCTTATGTTTAATGTACAATTGCGCAATTTATGAGAGCGTAGGAAATTATGCTAATCTTTGAGAGACCCATTCTTTGAGTCTTTGAGTGTCTCCTCTGTCCAGAAAGAATCAGTATGTTCCATACGAAAATACGGGCCACTGGGCAAACTTCTTCAATATGTCTGTCCCATAATGTATAGAGGCTATATAGAAGCTGTATACCAAACTCTAAAAGACCTAAGAAGTTCAGATAAAATTATGGGAGACGTCACCTTCGTGTCTTTCGTCAAACTCTTCTTGTTGTGCCTAGAGGCACACGTGCAGATCTTAAAGCCTGCTTACCTTAAGAACAAACATGAGAGCCCATTTAGGAAAAGGTAATGCGCATTTCGAGAGTTTTTTATTATGAGTAGGTGACGGAAAAATACTTGACGAAGATGGCCTTATTAAAAAAATGAGTTAGAAAAGTCTATCTCAAGTCTGATTTGATTCTAAATGTTTACCCAGCAATTGAGAATATTTCTCAAAAAGATTACACATGTACATACATTACACATGTACAATAGTTTCGCCAAGAAATTCTTCTGTTGATCAAATATTAATAGTTTTGAAATATTAGAAATAATACCAGGTAATCAAAAATATATAAATCCGTTGATAGCGTATTAGATACAGGGAGCGCTGTGCATTACCCACAGGAATTCCTTAACTCTCTTAACCCTTCAGGACTTCCCCCTCATACTCTAAAAATTAAATTCGTTATTCCTATAACTTTATTGTGAAATCTGAATCCGCCTAATCTATGCAAAGGAACTAGGCTTTAAGTAAAATCGCTACGTACCTAATAATATGATTGACAGTATCATTGTTACAGGACCAGCGGCACGTCAGTTGGCTCATATTCCCCGCATTCCCATGTTCCCTACAGATTTAGCTTTCCAATATAAGCGATTACAGTCTCCAATGAATTTTTTTTTCGCCTTCAACATCAACAAATATGAAAGCCAAACATACAAATATATTGGACTTGATCTAATGGAAGATTGTTTTACCCACGGATAATTATGTATTGGTCTCTCTAGGTCCGGCAATGCGGAGAATCAATTTAAGAACAAAAATATGTTATACGAAGAAGTTTTAAAATAAGTTATATCTATTAAGCTACATCTGAAATATATCATACCTATATAGATTATTGTTCAACCCGGGCCGGGGTGGGCTGATAGTTATTACATAATTTGTAAATCATTATAGTGAGTTAGCAACTTGTGTCGAAAGTCTAGTGCTGAAACTATTATTTATTCTGCGACATAAGCCTCTCTCATATATTTCCTCATAGAGCAGACTTTGCCATAGTTGCCACGCTTGACTATTGCGTTAGCAACAGCAGTTTATTATTATTTTGAGTATTTATCAGGAATATTCTGTTGCCCATCTCCTATTTAATTTCCCTCTGTCGCTGCATCACATTCACTTGACTATATTTTCTACACTGCCATCAGTATTGTTGGTCAAATCAAATTACAATATAATAATAAGGAGTATAATGGTCGATGCACACTGATTAAAATGTTTTTTTTTATTATATAAGTAAGTAAGTAATGGAAATATATTCTCACACTATATATTTCTATATATTTGGATTTATGTGTGACCTAATAGTCAATAATCGCGAATGCATTTTTTTTAACTTTTAACCATACTTCTCTTGAACCAAAACGATGTATTTGTAGCTAAAATTTATCTAAAAAAATGATATACAAATTTATCTTACTACAGTACTCGAAAATTTAAAAATGCAATGGTAAAAAATAAAAATGATAATATTAAAACCATGGTAAAAATCCTTACAATATGTAAAAACTTAAACACGTAAAAAATAACAAAATCTTAAAGTCACCGTCTAAAATTGTAAAAAAGATATGTACATAATAAAATTTACACGTGAACTGCAAACTATTTTGCTCTACTTTTACGACAACCTTATGTCTTCCTCCTTCAATTTTCTAGCAACTTCTGGACAAAATTCCTCTTCGCGGAACTTATATCCACATTCAATCATTTCTTTGGCAACTGTGAAGTTTTTCTTCAACGATTCTAGCCAAACCGTGTATGAATAATCGGGCCAAACACCGCCATATCTTTCTGGCAAGTGTTCAGGTTTAACATGTTCATGGAGCGACTTTAAGTCGTACCCGTGGAAATAAATTTTTGACTGCATTTCAGAATTTAGGAATGGCTTAAATATATTGTACATCTTGTCGAAGAGCCAGGAATGATTGATGACATGGATGGCGTGCGTCATCGCTGGAAAACATGACTGCAAAAAATCAAAATAAAAATAAGAATAGGTAAGTTAAAAAGTAAAGTTACAACCTATATACGAGTACGTCCCACGGCTGGGTACAGGCTCCATCTCACTTTTGAGAGGGTTTTAGGGCGAGGAAGTCTCCGCCACGCTGCCCCAATACGTGTTGGCAGATTTCAAATGTCTTTGATTTTTTTTTTATTGCTGAGACATTGAGGTTTCCTCACGATGTTTTCCTTCAGCGACGAGGACGTGGTAAATCAGCACTTAAAATTGGTGCCTTCATGGATCGAATACGGGTTGCTCGAATAGTGTGAAATTTACACAAGTATAGATCCCACTGATGGGCACAGTCCTCTCATTTCTGTGAGGGTCATGGAGTGATTCGTTCTCCGCGCCGATCTAGTACGTGTGCTCAAAATTAAGTAGTGTTGTTGTCATTTCGTGAACCCGTGCTTTTTAATTACAAATAATAAAAGTTATATACAGCGTTTTGATGTAAAAGTGTCTTTGCTTTGTTTATAAAACTCGTTTAAATTATATTTTCTGTTTAAATTCAAATCAAAAGTAAATTAGTAATAGAATAAAAAATATTCATTTAATGTTAGAGAATTTCATTCAAGCTCATTGTAAGGGGGGTGGGACTGTTTCTTGGTTACCATTAGACTTTTTTCATATATTAATAAATTCGAAAAAATGACTATACAACTAACCACTAAGAGTTTGACAATTTTGGCAGCTACGTATGGAGTTATCTGCCACGCGTGTTGCGTGCCAATGTTTTCCAGGTCGAAGATAGCCAGCCCTCCAAGAATTTGGTTCCGCTGCTCCAACATACCCAGTTCTAAAGCCAATATTGTAGCTTTAAAAAGATCATCGATCGGAATGGTTTTAGGATCCCAACAACCTGAAAATAAATTCGTAGGTATAAAATAATAAAATTACAATAACAATTAATTAAATTATTAATTATACATTTAATTAGTAATTTAATTATCAATTTTTTATAATCATTAAATTATTAATTATACATTTTTATCTGATTGTTTACCCACACATTAAGTAAAAACTACTGACCCATTTCGGTTTTAGTATTTATAAAAATATAGGGCACAACAAATAAATAGCCCAAGTAGAAATATGTCGTATTTATTTCATCGCAGTAGTCCTACTCGATCTGACGTTATGTGAAATCAATAATGTTTCAAAAATTTTCTAACAAGCACAGTTAAACAAAGAAGTGTATCCTATACACATGTACAAGTTCTTTTAATAATTAAAAATATATCATTGGCTCTTTCAGTAAAAATAACTAAATATACATAAATAACTTGAAGTACCATCTGAAATAACGCAGTGAATTGTGCGTGGCCAAGTGTATGCGTGCGAAGTGTGGCGGCGTTTTTTGTCATATTTCTATTACTTTGGGAATTTTAGATGGAGAAATTTGTTGAATACTTTATAGGGGCTTAATAATAATAATGTTCTTCAGACCGATTTTAGGTCACGGCGGCTAGTCTCGAAGGAGACTAGCCATTTCCGAAGGACAGGATTATAGTGCCCTAGTGCATTCTTATGCCCTTATTTTCATAGTACGATGGAACGGTCATCCGACTCGAAGGGTGAGAGATCAGGCGCAGGACCTACGGCTTTACGTGCTTTCCGAGGCACGGGGTTGAAACACTGCCAACTTGCTAACTCCGAGCGGAGAATTTCTTAACAGAAAAACTACAGAGGTCAAAACTGTACTAAACTATTAAAGACAGCAGCGAAATGGACGAAAAGTTTGCTGGCAATCTGATGCAACCACTGGGATAACCCTCTTCTCTGAACGCGGGTATATCTGTTCCGGACGGACGCGTTCCGTCGGCAGGCCATGGAAATATAAAATAAGTAATCTAGGCCAAAATATTTTCATAAATTAAACATTTGTTTTAAAAATAAAATTAATCTTTTTGGAGTTTTGTCCTGGTCCAGGGATTTGAACTCAGGACTACATGACCAACAGTCACATTTATGGCCACTTGTCCAACAAAGCAATCGGTAAGAGCAGTACAGGTCAAGCTAATAAAAAGCGTGTTATATGTGAACATTTTGGGAGATAAGATAAAATGATTTTGACTGTTTAAATTCTTTATACTCACCAATTCTATATATAAGTAATCTTCGTCCATTCTGATCGTGGTAAGGTGGGACAGCCAAAATGTCAGCATCACCTATGTGCCGAAGATTTAACGGGTAGACATTTTCGAAAAGTTCCGAGTTTTCTTTCTTGAATTTATAATAGTTCACCATCTACAAAGTAAAATAATCTTTAGATGAATCAGCCTAATATAATAACTCATCACTATCATTATCACATTTAAGCCGTAAAAGTCCACGGCTGGACATAGCCCTGCAGTTTGGAATCTTAGCATGCTTGTATGGATGCCAAGCATTAACATGTTAATGTCCAATATTATATTATGTGGTAGAACTATATTTTATTTTTAATACGAATGGGGAAAGACCACGCTCTCTTAGAATACCAACGTAAAATAGCATCTTAATGGTGCTTTGTTTCATAATATGGTGAGTGTTAAAAACTGCAGACCCTTTTTACTGAAAATGAGGCATTCCATTTTCGTCCTCAAGGGTGATAGCACATCTGCATTTAGATTTTTAATGGGCCACAGTATCATTATTATCATCATCATCATTACAGTCCTTCACAAGTTCACTGCTGAACATAGGCCTCCCGCACAGAATGCTACAAAGCACGGTCATGAGCTATCTGCATCCATCGATTTCCTGCATGTCATACCACGTCGTCTAGTGGGGGGGGGGGGGGGGTCGCCCTACAATTCGCCCACCGGTACGAGGCTGCCACTTGAGAACCTTTTTTCGCTGTCGGTTGTCGGCTTCTTTGAGCTATATGGCCTGCTCATTGCCACTTTAGCTTACTAATCCGTTAGGCTATGTCGGTTACTCTGGTCCTAGTGGGGATATCCTCATTTCTAAGTGTATCACGTGAAGAACCCCGAGCATAGCCCTCTACATAGCTCGCTGAACGATCTTGAGCGTCCTGATACGGCCAGCGTTTTAAGGACTACGTCTCATATCCATAAGTCATCACTGGCAATACGCACTGGTTGTACAATCTCATTTTCAGGGTTTGAGGTATACCCGACGAGAAGATATAATTTCCTGAACGCTGCCCAGCCGAGTTGAATCCGTTGATTGAGCTCTCTTGAATGAATGGGTGAAGACTTTCGGGGATATAACGTTACCCTGTCATACACCTCTCTGCAGTTGGATAGGTTTCGTACTCTGGTTCTGTACTCGGATAGCCAACGAAGCCCCACTGTACAAACACTTCAGCACTTCGATATACCGGCAGTCAACCAATTTTTTTAAAACTTACTAAGCTCAGCACCGCTGAAGGGACAGTAGCACCGCCCAAATTTCAACGGAATCAAAGGCTTTCTCATAGTCCACATACGCGAGCATATTGTACTCTTCGGCCTTCCGTACAGTTTTCCGAAGGGTATGTATGTGGTCTATGGTACTAAAACCTTTTCGGAATTCGGCATGTCCGGGAGTTGGAAGTCGTCGAGTCTGCGTGCGAGACGACTTGTTATGACTCTCGAAAATAGCACGTAGACGCGGGTCAGAAGAGAAATCAGTGTGTAGTTCTTCAATAGAGAGTTGTCGCCTTTCTTGAAGAACAAGACCACCGCACTTTTGCTCCACGCCTCCGGAGTAGTCACACCATGCATGACGGAATTAAAGATCTTTTAAAGGACATCAAGTACCAGTTTTCCACGCTCTTTCGGAAGCTCCGCCGTCATTCCATCCTTGCCTGGGGCCTTGCCGTTTTTAAGGTGCTGGAGAGTCATTCTATTCTCGCTCAGACTGACGTCCAGAATATCATCGGAATAGTGTCAGATAAACCTTGATCTTGGATCGTTACTCACACTTGCCTGTGGCTCCAACGATGACGTGTACAGGTGCCCATAGAACCTCTCAATCTCACTCAAAATCTCAGGTGTCTCGGAAATGATGCTGCGATATTCGGTCTTCAGCTTCAACAGTCGACTCTTTCTGGCAGATAGATCTCTGGCAAAGACTTTGGAGCTCTGGTTCCGCTCAATCGCTTCTTTAATACGATCTGTATTGAAGTTGCGAAAGTCTCGCCGCATGCATTTGGAGATCTGTCTGTTCGGTTACCTGTATGCTGTCGAATCTGTAGAAGACTGCAGCTTCTCTTCAGCTCTCCTATCACACTCTTAAGATTTTGGCTGTTAAGCCATGAGATTAAGAGTTTTTGTGTTCTTCTGCGGCGGGTCTTGCAGAACTTAGCTCTGACTACGTGAACAGTTTCCACGAGCTTGTCATTCATATTGTCAACTGCATTGCAGTCTTATAGGCATCTAAATGTTTTTGTAACTTGAACTGAAAGTTTTCGGGGCTTTAGATTAGAGCACGAGGGAGATGGAGCGTTGACTTCATTAGACGAGACCTCTCCAACTTAACGTTTAGGTTTGTGTGCCTCTCACCATTCGCGAGGTTGAAAACCGGTGGCGATCACTGAGACATCACTGAACAGTATCGTCTAGTCGTCATAATGAAGTCAATCTCATTTTTTGTCGAACCGTCGGGGCTCGACCAGGTCCACTTCCTATGGGGCCGCTTCTGGAAGAAAGAGTTCATCATAAAGAGTCCCTCTTTCTCCATGAAGTCGGCCAGCTGCTGGCCCCGTGTACCCCTATTCCAAATTTCCCTACCTTTAGCTCACCGTTCTCTTTTGTGCCTAGTTTTGTGTTAAAGTCTCCCATTAACACCGTATATTGGGTTTTGGAGGAATGCATGATTTTAGAGATATCCTCATACATTTCCTACACCTCCTTATCGAGATGTGCCGAGGTTGGTGCGTAAACCTGTATGAGCTTCAGCGAATACCGTTTGGTTATTCTGAGTATAAGGTACTTTTGTATGTGGTAGAACCACACTGCAGCTATATTATAGTTGTAGCACGAATGCGTCGCCTCGACTGGGGTAGGACCACGGTTTTACAAAATACCAGCATTTTTGTTACCGTACGAGCAACACGTATTAGGCACACTTTTGTTAAAAATAATAACTACACCAAAATTAAAGATTATAAAACACCGTGATAGTTAAAGTGACAGTGAAAATTACGAAAAGTGCTATTAAAATAATAAAATAAGTCAATATATCGGATAACATCAATATTATACAGTGCAAAATTGTGAGGAACTATCACAAAACAGAGTGCAAGAACTAAACGCGTAAGCGCCGCTTGCCGCATGGCGCTTGGGACCTTCTTTTCACAACATCAATTATTGAGTAAAAACTTTTAAATAATTGAATGCATGCTACAAAATCACTAGTTGCGAATTGTTTATTTTCTACCTACAATTTTAACGATTTCACAATTATTTTGTCTCAACTCAACTCAAATACAATTGGACACTTTTACTTGACCATCAGATCAATATGACTTCAAAATGCAATGGATGTATGCAAACACTCACAAAAAAGGAAGAATTATCGTGTACGCATTGCCCTAAAAAATATCATTATGCCTGTCTTAATATAAGTGAAATTAATTTTAGAAAAACGTCCAATAAATTTTTAAAGTCTTTCAAATGCCCTGCGTGTGTAACAACAGAAAAAAAGGTCGATAACTCTAATACACCCGCTAAATCTCACTTAAGCTCACCGGATTCTGATACATGCAAAAATGATAAATTTAGGCTTGAAGATTTGGAAAGCTTTCTGGATAAAAGATTATTTGATTTTAAAAATGCCATCATTGCTGAAATTAAGAATACAATTGTGTCTGAATTAAATAACAACATGAAGGAAATCTCCCAAGAGTTGCGGTCTATAGCTGACTCCCATTCCAATTTACAGACTGAACACTACAAATTAAATGAAGAATACATGACCCTGAAGAACAATGTAATTAACTTAGAAGAATCTTTAAATGATCTTCGCTGTCAGATTTCCAGACAGCATCAGTGGTCGAGACAACAGAATATTGAAGTTTTTGGTGTTCCGGAAGTAAAAAATGAGAATCCAAAAGATATAATAATCAAGATCTGCAATCATGCAGGTGTTCCACTCAATGAACAGGATATCGACTTTGCTAATAGAGTGCAGCCTTTGAATCGTATTGAAGGTCGACCAAGGGTCATCGTTGCCAAATTAAGACAGAGATGTCTGAAAGATAATGTGATTTCTGGTCTGAAAAAATCTAAGGGCATCTCAACAAAGGATATTGGATTAACAGGTGAATCAAAACCTATATATGTTAACGATCATCTTACACCCGAAAATAAGGCTCTATACAAAAAATGTAAGCTGAAGGCAACAGGATTGGCGTACAAATTTGTATGGACAAAAAACTGTCAAATCTTTACCAGAAAGAACGAAAAGTCACCGGTCATATCAATAACTTCAGAAAAAGATTTATTGAAAATAGTTTGAACACATTTCACTTTAGATTTAATAACCATATATCACTAATTATTGTTATTAACAAGTGTAGTTGTTTAATTTATATTCATATGCTCAATTGTTTATTTCTTGCTCATTGTTACACTTTACACCGTTACTCACACACACATATCATAATCCAAAATTATCTCTTCACAGTGATGTTACTAATAGCTTTCTCTAATTTTTCAGTGAGATATAAATTTAAAACTAGGATCACGACAGAATTGGTAAACCAAATTAACTATCATTTTATTTTAACAGATTATAATAATACTATTACTTATATTCCTCTTTCATTAAAATAAGTAACGCATTAACTCTATATTACCAAAACGTTCGGGGTTTACGAACCAAAGTTAACAAACTAAACCAAAATATATTACTGAATGATTATGATTTAATTTTACTAACAGAGACATGGCTAAACGAAAGTTTTTCATCAAACGAAATATGTGATAATCGGTATGCAGCATTTAGGTGCGATCGCAATAGCAATACATCAGGTAAAGTCATTGGAGGGGGAGTAATGATATGTGCAAAACGCCTCTACCAGCCTCAAGAAAGATTAGAGTTTAGTAGGGATGGCGTAGAACTTGTATGGATAAGTATTGCAGCTCGTACACTGAGCAATACGCAGCGTTATGCCCTCCACGTTGGAGTTGTATACATACCTAGCGGTCCAATGCAATCTTATCAATTGACTCTAGTACAAGATTCGCTCTCTGCGGTTATGTCTGCCCACCCACAGGATTATATTATCTTAGCTGGCGATTTTAATTTACCAAATA